CTCATACATAAGATGCTTACAGGGATGTCTGTACAGTTTGAAATTCTTTTCAAGGAGAAATGAAATAATCAGGAGAATTTTTTATAATAAAAATAATTTGAACAGACCTAGCTTAGAATTTTGACTGCTTTTCATTGCCTTAGCCTTTGATTGCTTTACTGACTGGCTGTATTTTTTCTAAGATGGCCAACCAAGACATACGCTATGCTTATGATTTAGGGCACATTTGTTGTTGTTGTTGTATTTTGTTTCTGTGTTTCAGGGAAGACTGTTTTATATTTTTTATTTTTATTTATTTTGTTTATTTTTATTTATATTGTTTATTTTTAGTACTGAAAGTAAGCCTCACACAGTGTGACAAGAAGAAAATTGCTTTGAATTCTTTGTAACCCCTATGGAAGCTACTAAGGGGCTACTAATACACGTAATTTTTTCTACTTGAGCACAGTCAAACATTTTAATCAAATCAAAGATTATGTCACTATAAAATGAGGAAATGGATGATCCACATACTTGCCCAGCATGTTTCTTTTACTTTTAAATCCTAAAGATCTATTATTTTTCATAATGAATTCAAAACTCTTTATAAGATGTAATTTTGTCACCTGTGGAACAGAAAGTTGAAGACCTGATTGAGGCTTAAGGAATATGAAATAATTTCTGAGAGACTGCTGCCAAAATGACGGTCTCAGAGGAAGAAGTGCATATAACTCCTAGTTTTGAAGTATAATTTCAACTCTCTTCTTCAAAGAAAACTGTTTTTTGACAAGAGTAAAGATGGGGTAACTAGACTGTTTTGCAAGTATTTGTACATTGATAGAAACACTGTTTTGTGTGCCTTTTATTGAAAGCTGACATGCCTATTACTTCCTCAACTTTAGTCAGAGTTAAATTTTGGGTCCTAAAGAAAAACAGATTACATCATATCTTACAGACCATGGAGGGAAATGTGATTTTGTCTCTATAAATAACCAATATCTGGTCAGCGCGGTGGCTCACGACTGTAATCCCATCACTTTGGGAGACAGGAGCGAGTGGATCACAAGGTCAGGAGATCGAGACCATTCTGGCTAACACGGTGAAACCGCCTCTCTACTAAAAACACAAAAAAATTAGCCAGGCGTGGTGGGGCGCCCCTGTAGTCCCAGCTACTCGGGAGGCTGAGGCAGGAGAATGGCGGGAACCTGGGAGGCGGAGCTTGCAGTGAGCCGAGATCCAGCCACTGCCCTCCAGCCTGGGCGACAGAGCGAGACTCTGTCTCTTAAAAAAAAAAAAAAGAGCATGCTCTATATAATCTATTCTCTATTTTTTTTTTTCTTCCTACATTGTGTGTAATCTACTATATTCATTACAATGTCAATTCACTGTGGAGTTTCGTCTTGTTTTTTGTCTTATCGCTTCACAATTTCCTCAGATTGCTTTCAGTTGTTTCAGTGTGAAAACTTAAGGAAATCCATAAACTAGAAAAAGAATATGTAATATCTTTAGATACCATTGATATTGACAACAGTTTTGAAGTTTATTTCTTGAAATCCCAAACATAGCTATTATTTTACCTAGTTTGACTGTCTTATTATCCTAGTATTAGGAAGCTAATTATCATATGTCTATTTACAAAACACAATATTTTTCTCAGTATTAAAATCTATATTGCTGCCACCAAATTGTTTGTGACCAGAGAGCCAGTTTGCTCTCAAAGAGGTTATACAATTTTTCTACATGCTACATATTAATTCCTGATGTCAACTGTATGTTTGAATGACTGTTGATTTAACTAGGTCCATATATATTCTAAGTGAAATATATATATTCTAAGTGAAATTCTTGGAATTATCTTTCTTCTTATCTATCTAAAAACTGACAACCTAGTTTTAGGATTTTATTTGTTTGTTTGCTTGTTTTGAGGCACAGGCCATTTCTCCCAACTAGTTATTCAGTATGTTTTTTCTTTTCTTTTTTTTTTTTTCCTCAAACAGAGTCAAAGATAGTTCTACTTTTTAAGAAATAATTCTGGAAAGCTGATTGCCTGATTTGATTTGTTTATATATACATGCAAAAATATAATTCAGGGGCAGTATTTTAAAATTTAATTTTTTTAACATGGCACTCAAACTACTAAGGTACTAAGCTGAGTTCTGACTTGATTGCCAGGGTAATATGAATTAATGCCAGGGTAATACAGCACTATAGATACCGCACCTCTTTGGCTCAGAGCTTTGTAAGCATTACCTTGGTTTGCGGTGTCCTACAGAATCTCCTCTCAGCCTTTGTTTCAGTCATTTATGCAGAAATGGTGTCATACAAAGAAACTGCCATGTGTAATTCTTGCATCTCAGAATAACTATGCATTTTTCCTTGCCACTCAAGAAATAATACCAGAACACAGTGATGGAAAATATTGAGTGACATGACACTAATTTATATTTATAAAAGTATGTAATACTTAAAGCCTTTGGTTCTTTAAATAATATTAGTAATACATTCCTTGCAATATTAATAAAAATGTGCATACTCCAATGTCACACTACTATTGAAAGCAATCATATTTTCACTCTGAAAAAGCTCTTTGTAAGTTGTACTCAGCTGTCCACCCCTTCTCACATCCTCTAGTGATGTGCAACACACATGGTAGGACAGATGGCCGGAGAGAGGTGTATTATCTATGCCCATGCAGCAGTTTCTCTGTGCATCTTTTCCATTAGCATATGACTCTTCTGCCCTTATTTCTTCATCTGCTAGTGTTAAGCGAGGTAGTGACATCTGCTGTACAGATTGTTGAGATACTTCCTGCTAAACAATTAGGTAGGGATTGCCTATACAGTGGAAAATTCTAAGTGTCTGTTACTGCATGGTTTCCCTTGAGAGACAAAGGCCAGATATTGACAGCTCGAAGGTGACTTGCCTGATGAACTTTTGTCATCTTTCTAATTCAGCAGCAAACTCCAGGTTCACAGAATTGAATGACCTACACTCTTTTCCTTATTTACTAGATGTCTAATAATCCTAAGCATACATATCACTCTTAGCTATGAGTGAGACAATAAAATTTAGTTCTAGTCTTTATATGTGTAAACATTCAACAGCTTAATTCATAGGTAGTTATAACAAGTTCTAAGAGCTACAACAATTAGTCTTCCTAGATCTTTCCTCTGTAATAACATTTAATGAATACTTATTTACAAGAATAACTATGATAGTGATACACAAGAGCATTTCCTAACCACACATAGCCTCAGGTCTAGGTTAGGAAATTCTAGATTCATTCTACAATCATACTTCTTGTGTTTTTTTTTTTTTTTGACGGAGTCTCGTTCTCTTGCCCAGGCTGGAGTGCAGTGGCTCAGCTCACTGCAAGCTCTGCCTCCTGGGTTCACGCCATTCTCCTGCCTCAGCCTCCTGACTAACTGGGACTACAGGCACCTGCCACCACGCCCGGCTAATTTTTGTTGTATTTTCAGTAGAGACAGGGTTTCGCCGTGTTAGCCAGGATCGTCTCTATCTCCTGACCTCGTGCTCCACCCACCTCGACCTCCCACAGTGCTGGGATTACAGGCATGAGCCACCACACCCGGCTACAATCATAATTCTTTAGTGCAGCTCCTAAAAACATATTTTCAGGTTTCTCATTTAACTTAAAAAAAAAAATGCACTCTTTACAATGACTTTCTTGTAGTGTCTGATGAGGTCTGTGTGAAAATTTACAGTTAAAGACATACACACACACAGAGATTATTCATTGTCCCAATCTCAGAAGGACTATTTTGCAGAGTGTATCTTTGGAGACAAAAAAAAAAGCACTTACCCATCTCCAGTTAAGGAGCTAACCACTGTAAAATGAACTCAGGATGGATTACTTCTCATAAAAACTAGGGCTTGGGCAAGTTGGCATAAAATATTATTATATCTTTGAAATGTTGAATGAAAATAATTCCAGCACAGTTCATGTGATTAAATCTATTTTCATTTGAGCACACAGATTGCACTTCTCTTCATCCTCAGGGCTTTTCGGTAAAGTTATTTCTATGATCAACCCTTTAAAGAGGAATAGAAAAATATAACCCAGAGTCTCTTTTTGAATAAATTTTCCTTTCTCTCCACCATTTAAATGTTTTCCAAGTAGGTTTTAATCTATTATACCAATTAACAGAATGATATATTTAGAATCAGCTTGTAACAGAACTGGAACTATTACTGAAATGTTGACTTTGAAAATCTCATTTGTGACAATGACTACACCTAAAAATACAGAAAGAAGCATTAGGAAAAGAAAAGAGAATACCAGGCAGAAAAATTAAGGTGAAAGAATGATGGACATATAGATAACAGTGTTGGTAGCAGGAATCTTATCAGTTGCCTCTAAATTGCACAGTCAAATTTGAAGGAAAGAGACAGATGCAATTTTCTCAGTGTGCTTTCAAAATATTTCTTAGCACATGCTAAGTCACATTTGTTTGTTCCCACAAGTGCTCACTCATCCTGCTTTTTTGTTAAGAAGGAAAATATTTTTTTCTGGTTAATTCCTTCCAAGTCCTTTCATATTATTGTCTCCAGAAGACTCTGGGATGCATTAGTGGACAGCCAACCAAGCGGTTAACTTATATGTTGAATTATGGATACACTTTGCTTTGTGCATGTGATTTCAGCTTTTTTTTTTTTTTAAGAATGAAAATGTTTCTAGAGTAAAACTAGTAAAACTATCTTGATTTGGTTTAGCTTTGTTTTTTCATATCCCAAAACATTCCTACCATGGTTGCTGAACCAGCAAGAGCAGCATCACCTGGGAACTTGTTAGAAATGCAACTTCTTGAGCCTTATCCCAGACCTCCTGAATCAGAAACTTAAGGTGCGGCCTGGCAGTCTGGGTTTTAACAAGCCCTCCAGGTGATTCTGATCCTTCTAAGATTTGAGAACAACTGGTCTCAAATATGCTCATTGTACAATGAGCTGTACAGAGTGGGTGGCTACTAAATATGACTGTCCCACTTTGGTCCATGTGCGTGCAAAACTAACAATTCTGGCCCAATCATGTTTTCTTCACAGATATGGTGATTACTTACAATGACAATGACAATATGACCACACCAAAATACAAATCCTCTCTGTACCTATTATATTCTGTGCAGGGCATCTTGGTTAAGCTGGTTTCTAGTATTGTCAGCATATTTTTTTTTTATTATTTTTCTACTATTAATAATTTAGTATAACAGAAGGCCATATTACTGATGTTATCATCACAGATAAATGGTTGATTATTTCATTTTTGAATAAAGTAGGAATAACAAAAAACATTTTAATTTAAACAGGTAAATGTACAGCCATTTGCCAATCTTTTTGATGTAATGCCAGAACTGTCTTTTGGCAGTAGTCTCCTTAGTGAAGTTCTATTTTTCTTGCCTAACAGTAGTAAAAATCATTTATTTCATAATCTTCTACATGGATCTAGCATTTAAAGATACATGTAAAGAAGTTTTGATATACACGTCTCTGAATTTTTATGATATTTACCTTCAACTGTCACATATTTTATCCACAAATAATTGAAAAATAGTTATATTTTTGTTTTGTTTGTGTAACTTGTTTTCATTTTTGCCTTTTAAAAGAAAGCATCTTAGTTTTCATGAAAAAATGTCATCTGTTTCACAGGTCAATATTAATGATGCATAAAACTTTAATGAAATTACACAATTATATGAGAACAATTGCAATAAAAAGATCATATTAATTATATGAAACAAGAAAAATTTCAATTTTAAGATCAATTTCGAGAACAATCAAAAGTAGTTAGGCAGGCAGCCCAGCTGGTGAGAGCTGAGGAACAGGAGCTGGCTTACTTCGCTTCAGCATTCAGTGTGTGAAAGATTTTAGTCTTTAGACTTCAGACTACAAGACACCCTCATTTTATCTAGTGAGTTGTTTAAAGGCAAAGGTGATTACCTAGTGAACCTCCACAGTATTATGATATGGGTTCAGGTGCTAGGTTCTCCCATCAACCCTGTTTAATTCCTTCTATTTTTGGTAGTGGTAAATTTGGGTGCATGGAATTTTCTCTCCACATTTGTGTGAATGATTCTCATCTCTAGAAAACTTTGCATTGTCTAACTTCATGGAAGTGAGTTATAAGGATGAGCTGCCTTTATTGGTGTTTTTTGGTTGTTTGTAAGTCAAACATCTGTTTCTTATTAGAGGAACAGTACTCACAGAGGAGAACTGAAGCTTATTTTTGTTGTTGTTTTTTGCTTTAATTACCTCATGCAGCACTTT